CCTAGTTGAAGTGCTATTTTATTTGAATTGTGAAAAATCTGATATTTAAAATAGAATTTCAAATATTTTCTCTATAAATATTACCCGGTTCTGCACACAGTCATCCGCGACTGATAGACTGCCCCCCCTCCCCCTCCCCCACGCCCGTACAAACGAACCACGACTCCATGAACTCAGGATGACATTGCGATTGGTAGATCATTGAGCTCCAAAACGGTATTTAAGTGAGCAACATTTCGTCAACAACTCTCATTCAATCAACGGAACGCGGCCTGACGGCACACGTACAATTAAATTTTATAAAATGCAGTTATAACCGAATAAAATTATTTGTTACCTAATACAAGTGAACTATTTATTTACACAGGCTGTTAAAAGGCTATTAAAAGAGCACTTTATTCAGTTTTTTGCAAATAAAAAAGAAGACATCTACGAGCATAAGATGTCAAAGCTACCAAAAAAATATCGAAAAGCTTTATTTTTTTACTCTGAACATTAAAAAATCGTCTTCCATCTTCTCGTGAAAGAACGAAACAACTTTCCTAACGACTCAATCTTTGTTCTTTTATAAATATTTTTAATTGATTGCGTTTTGGAAAATGGGATTTCTCTTTACGAATGAGGCGGGGTGCTTGAATAAACGAATAAGTTGGCCGACTTTTTATATTTGGAATTTAGTAAAATTGAAACATGATTTCGATATATAGATTTGTCACAATTGAGCACTTAGGAAGTTTATGTTCTCGTGAACATTTTGCAGAAAGTTTTAAGTAAATATTCGCGTAATTACGGAAAATGTAAATTATTAAATTTGTTGATGCCGATATCACATTTTTCAGAATTTTGTCCGTCGTAACTCTCATAGTAATGAATATTTTTACACAAAATTTTTTGTATAAGTGTGTAAAATGCTATTCTTTATCGAATGGAACTCTGACGTCAATATCTATTCTAATTCTAAATTATTAACTACAATACCTTTTCACAAAGACATGAAAAAATTACTTTACGTTTTCTACTATTTTTGTCCAATTTCTTTGAACAAGTTGCTTCGAATAACTAGTTCCCTTAAAACTATATACAGCAATTACTAGACCGTGGATCTTCATGCAGGCTAACAATTTGCCAAGCCATATCTGCGGATCAGAAATTAAGTAACAACGTGCTTCTTCGTTAAAGAATTCTGATAAGTTACAAGTAATGTAACACACATTCATAATTCATTCTCATTCACAATTATCTGATTCGCTTATTCATTTTTCTCATAAATGCATAATATCTGCAGTCTACTAATTGCAAACAGACAATTATTTTCTATTCAAATTAAGTGTAAACATTATTACCATGCTCATCGAACCTTACCAAAGCAATTCAACGGACAAGAAACCATTGATTCCAGTCACCCTAATATTTCTGAACTCTGTTAACCTTAGAAATACAAAGGAGGAACTCGTCGAATCCACGACGTAAAAAATGTTTAATTTCAGCTACTTCGTTTTTGCGAAAAATTCGCAAGAAATCATTTATTGTCGTAGGTGTCTTTAAGTTTGACGATAAAAAAACTAAAAAAAAGATCCAAAACGAAAACATATTTGTGTTTTTCAGTGTACTATAACATACCTGAATATTGCATAACGTTTTTTAAAAACAAATTTTTTTAACTTTAATTTCTTTAATCATTTTTAAAAATAAGATACAAAAAGATATAATATTTAAGATACAAAAAAGAAGGTTTATCTTTCCGAGTTATGTAGGTCAACTTAGTTTTTTTAAATGGGTGCATATAGTTTTTGTTCATAATTAGTTAGTAAAGGTTATTTGCAATGAGAATGATATCTTGTTAAAAACTACTGTTATGCTTCGTTCAGAAAATAATCGGCATCGTAAATAGTAGAGACATCACTAATAGGGTACTGGAGCAGGTTACTGTGGGGTAATGTGCCTTTATACAGTTGTTGTGCTTTTGGTTTGTTTTCGGACATAATTAACTTTATATTTGTCGATTAAGCATATTAAACTTTCTTTTTCTTTTATTTTCTTTAAGTGGGAAGTAAAAAATTGAATATAACCTATTTGATAAATTTAAAATTAATTATGACCGAAAACATACCGAAGGCACAGTAATTAGTCACCCCACGGTAACCAGCTCCACTATCCTAATCGGCATCTGAACATTATTTATTCGCTTTCTTAAGCTCTTTAATATGAATTGCGAAGATATAATACAAATTATTACCTAAATATTTAAGATGCCGATTATCTTCTAAACAATGCGTAACGACAGTTTTTAACAAGATATCATTTTGATTGTAAATGATCCCCTTACTAACTAAATATGCAGAAGAATAATATATATACACGGTTTTGAGTCAGTTGCAAGGTGCACGTAAATTAATACTTTTTATTTGTGACCTTCCCGGGTATTTATAAATTTGTCCTATTCAACTTTTTTGTTCTTTCTTCTCACCCTTTCTAAAAAAAGGTGTGGATTTGACCCCTCTCCCCGGCCCACACACGCCCCTTATTATTTCGTATGATAGTTCGTGGCTTAGTATTTCTGTGTGACAGCTATATGGAGACGGGTTTAACGCCGAGACGAGAAAAGTTTCAAGAGTTTTGGTTAAATCGCGTACAGTAATGGTAAGATAATAAAATTTAAATAAAATTAGTTCCCGCTATCCGGTTCCGCGGTGGCTGATTGCGTTAGAAGTTGACAAGTAGTTTTTGATGGAAAACTAACATCGCGATTCACCCAGTGAAGGCAGAAAAATGTAACGAGATCCAATCGATCGTGTAATTTCAATTTAAGTTTAAATTGCTCGGTGTTGCATTACTTTCTTTCGACGGTGTAAATATTCTGGCCGGCCGATTAATGCATGCGGGCGACGATTTCCCTGTTTAAGGAGGGCTTCGTTTCAATTTCAAACTTTAATCGGTTTTTAATGTGCTTAACATTCGAATGTTTCTGAGTTGTATCCTAACGACCTCGCTGAGAAGATAAGAAAATGCAATATTTATGGAAATTGCTGTAACTCTTCTTTAGACGATACAAATTCTCCTCTGAGAACAATTGTGCATCCAGCGGATCATAAAAGTGTTTACGCGAGAAAATAATACTTATTCAACATAATTATAAAACGCTTCTACAACAGCATTATTAAAAAATACTGATACACTTGTATCAGTATCAAAGAACATTAATTGTGTACATAATTATTTTACACAAAAGCATCACTAAAAATGGTTAAAATTCGATTCAGTATCATCATTGTACTTGTGTATTATTGTGTAAAATCACATTGTTAATAATTATCATACGAAGACTATCATGCGGATTATATGCATTTCAGACAAAAATGTCTTGAGTACAATTTAAAGCAATATTCCAATTAAGAGAATTCGTGGATATCGATATATTAATTTCGACTTATATACTAAAATCATTGAAGGAAGAACGATCTATTTCTATAGGCTAATTATAAGAGAATAATCTTTTAACATGCACATTCATATATATTCGTTATTTTTGCGGACACGAAAAAATATGTCGGAACTTTGTTAGGTTCAATGCTAGGAATACAATAAATTCTCCCTAATTAACGCTCAAATTATACACAAAAATAGACAATTTGGGAAGAGGAGATACGATTATTCGAGCCTTGCGGCTTGTTTTTATAATTGCTGACAATCGTTAACTATAAAAACGAGCCGCAATAATCGTATGTATATACAGTCGAATAATCGTATCTTTTCTTCTCAAATTGTTCATTCTTTTGTACAATCTGAGAGTCAATTGGGGAGAATTTACTGTATTAAGATTCGTGTTATTTTTATCTCAAAATCATTTTTTCTGAGTTCTGATGGTCAGAACTACTATTAACATCTACTTTTTATGGTGCAGCATCATAGTGCGCACGAGGACGGATTCAACGACCTATGACACTATGATGATTAAATGATCTTCATGAATAACTAATTTAAATAATTTAAGTAGTCGGTTGAAAGTGAATTTGGATGAACACTGGTGATCGAGATATTGTTCTTCATTTAAACGTCGCCTCTCAGTTTTCGATTACAATAATTTTACTTGCAATGTTCATGTTTACACGAGGTACCATAATCTTCAATCGCATCAATTTTATTCATTAACTGTCATTACTCATGGAAAAGCAAAATTTGTTTATTCTTTCGGTCGCCTTTAAACCAGCGTGATTTTTTTACTCAAGGTAATACTGGCATAGGTCGTTGAATTAAAAGCTGTGGTGACTTCCGAAACCTGAAAAAATGACATTGAGAAAAAAGCATACAAATCATAATATTCCTAGCTTCGAACCAAACAAATTAATACAAATCAGATAAATTTTCTCGTATCAGCGAAAATAACGAAATTTGAATGTGCAGGATAAAAGGAACACACCATATATGTTTGTTAAATAAAGCATTCTAATGGGCTAAAAGTCTACTAAAAAAATATAGTTGTATTATTTTTGCCACTAGCCTAAAAATGTCACAGAATTTATGTAAATAATTTTATTAATTAATTATGTATATATACATATAATATTATGTATAAATATAAATGTATTATTTTTATTAATTAATTATGTAATAAATTTATGTAAATATATAATTTATGTAAATAAATACGATTACATATCTAGAAACCGATTAATCAATTCTATTAGCGAGCAATTCGCACTAGCGAACAACAGGATACAACAGAATTGTCGATTTTTCACCCGTTTTTTTCTCCCAAGATCGACTGATTGCGGCGTCTTTCCAACACGCGTCGATTGTGAACACGCCTTGCGTCAACTTTCTTGTGTTTCACACAACCATCATTCCGGCCAGCTTGGTTCAGACAGTCGACGAAGCGAAGCGTTTTATATTCGGCGTGTGCCAGGCGCGGAATTTTTGATACTTTATTTTTGGTCGACGAATTTTTTAGCTTTTTGAATTATGTAAAGTCTGATTGAAACGTAGGGGAACAGGGGGTGAATATGGCGCAACCGGTTTCCACGATGATGCTCAAATATACGTACTTGAAGCCGAGGCAAAAGTTCGGGAAGCAATGCATCTTCGAGACTTTGTCGCCTCTCGGCGTCGAAAATATCTGGCCGAATCCCGAGCACGCTGCGAATTATATTCAGCGCAAGCAATGCGACCAACAAATGCAATTATCCACGCAATTCGCCACCCACGATGTGAGTTTCTGATTCATAACTTTAAAATTCCTTCGTAACCTTAAACGTTCACAGAAATGCCGATCTTACGTATCATCTTTGTCCAGATCCGTGTCGAGCAATTAGACGAATTGAAAATTATCTGGTTAATATTAAATTCCCGAGTCAGTCTGCTATGAATGAATTAAAAATCTCAATATTCAGTTTAATGCGATTGTTATTACTGTAACGTATTCAAACATGGGAAAGAATTAACACTAAACCTACCGAACTCTAAAAACGATGACGTGTATTGCTTTAGTAGAATGACACGACTGAATTTATTAAGACCTCGCGCCATTTTTTCTAGAGTGTTTGTCCGAATTGAGTTTATTCAATCGTTTCCTATGAAATAATCCTTATAACGTCAACAATGTTTACATGAAAAATGTAAAGCCGGTCATCTTGATTGACGCGGTAGGATTACTGTAAAGGAGGAATGGAAAATATCGTTCGTTATGTTCGTAAACATTTAGATGAATATTGAGAAAAGCTTTTGAAAATATGCGTGAACAAATAATTTCGAAACGAAATAAACTGGGGCCCCGATTATCTGAACTTCGAATATCAGAATTATTTATCAACAAAGTACATTTAATACTGGAATTTGAGATGATGCGCATGCAGTACAATTTCCAGTACAAATCGCTAAAGATTTAGTACAATAGTTTTAATTTCAGATCTATTATTCGAATGTCTACATTCCCTCGATTAGTTTGAATAACGGAGACTCCACTGTAGCATTAGAATGTATGAGAACCACCTCTCTCTTTGAAGTTATAGTGCAATGTTTTTATATTATACTGCACGTTATACAGTAGCGATTCTGGTAAGTGCAGCCTAAGAGTTGCCATGTTTGCATACCTTTATCTTTCGTTCAAAATTTGTATCTATTTATTTATTACTTTTCTGTACGGAAAATACTCTTTACGGAGTCGGTATTCAAATAATGCTGCATATAGCACGCAACTGGTTTCTATAATACATGAACGTAAGGTTCTCGACATTTGCATGTCGTGTTTTATTACACAATCATATGTTGTTTTGATATTTTATACATCGTTATTTACTGTATTTATGTATGGAGAATTATTTTTATTGAAAAGATACTCCCTATATATTCTATATAGTATAGCGAGTATTTTCGCGATGAGTTCACAATTATGATAATATTAATAATATTCTTAATAACAATATTAATAATATATTCTTGATAATAATATTAATTATATTCTTAATAATAATATTAATAATATTCTTAATAATATTTAAAATGAATTATATTCTTATATTTATTAATAATATTTAAAATTAATAATATTCTTAATAACATTTAAAATTAATAATATTTTTTAAATGATTGTGGATTTGCATTTATGACTAGACTGCAGATTTGACGTATTTATCACAAAAATTAATAAATGAAATCCAAAATTGTGAAGACACGAAAAGGATTTCAGAATATTGTTACACTCTATTTCCGAGTAATTACAATCGCGAGTAAAAAGAATCTACTTTTACTTGTTTCGTACTTCTTGCAATTGAATCGTACAGTATTTATTTTGCCTAAAGATATGCAGTCCACTCGCGACAAAGTTCGATAGATAAAATTTAAAACAATTGAATAGTGGAACCAGTTTTTGTAGGGTGACCAATTATTGCCGTGCCTTCGGTTTGTTTTCGAACTTAGTTAACTTTACATTTATCAAATAAGACATATTAAATATTTTAATCAAAAATAAACAAAATAAAAGTCTAAAAGAATTTAATGTGTCTTATTCGACAAACGTAAAGTTCATTATGCCAGAAAACAGAACAAAGGTAAAACAGTTGGTCATCTCGCAGTAACTGGTAACAGTAACTATCCTAAGAAGACTTTAAAACTTTCAGAAATATAAATATATTATTTTCAGTTTACCAAAATTACTAGGGTGGGGGGGGGGGTCCTGTGAAGCGTTCAAACGAGAGGTGATATTTGGCAATTTCTCTTTTAATATAAGACCTTGATGAAATTTATCGCCACTTGGTACATACATTCTTTAACATTTCAAAATGCAAACTGTTCTCTTTCGTTATATTTTATCGATTTTTAATGAAATAGTAGAGTCCTCACGCAAAAAGAAGGCACCATTCCCCCTCGTACCAGCTGCAGCAGTTGTGAACGTTGTACCTTATGGACCTTCCCGCCGACAGCATGGCGTGCAGTCTAGCATTCTTTTCCTTTGATATAGAACGAAAAATCGAACGATTTCTTCGTAGTATCACGTGTCGTATGTGAACTAAACTCCTCCTTAAAAAATGCAAAATTGTCGGAGATACGTGGCTTTGAAGGGAAAGAAATGATTTTTGCCATAAATTTCTAACTTAATTATGCAATAAACATAGTTCAAATAATTATTATTTTGAAGGGTATTAATTAATACGACGCGTAATACTATTACGAAGAAAACGTCGTTTGATTTTTCGTCCTAAACAAAGGAAAAGAATGCTAAACTGCACGTAGTCAACGAGGAGCTCCATAAGGAATAACATATATTATTTCATTAAAAGTCGATAAAATGTAGCAAAAAGAAAAAACAATTTGTATGTTGAAATGTTAAAGAATACACGTGCAAAATGGCGATACAATTCATGAAGGTCTTATGTTATTAAAAAATTGCCAAATATCACCTCTCGTTGGAACGCTTCGCAAGAGTCTCCCCCATCAAGGCAAGAACATCAATCACTGCAACTGGATCATTCTTTTTTTCAGGCGCAAACAGAGACAAAAGTTTCGAAAGATATGGGAATCCTGCACTTGGAAGGAGGCTGGCCAAAAGAGATCAATCCAAGTGACGGCGAAGCCACGCACAGGTTTATTCGACGAGTGGAGAAGGACCCATCTTATGCAGCTAGTATGAGGAACCTGATGCCGGTGAGCTTTTCTGCCACAGTGAATAGGTGAAATGCTATAAAAGCGCCCGCGATAAATACTTCAACAGATTTTCGCGCACTATATCTTCACGTGATATGTAGTTGATGGAGTACCACGTGTGTCAGAACAACGCGGTGAATATACACCAAAATTTTTTCGACGACATGATCCCGACGCATCTCGTAAAGCAGTACGACATGAGGTGCGTTTCTCATCCTTCACTTTTTCGTTAGTAGAACTTCACTCCACGTACGCGCTCATTCATTTTTACAGTCGACCACGTTACGGTGCCCATGCATATTTATTAATATAAATTACCCATCTGCGAATCAAAATTAGACGGTTCGAGTGTCGTCGGTATTTCCAGTGATTTTGAAAATAGGTTTCTGGAAACTTGTACTCACTGTGTTATAACACTTTATGCTGGATTTTCTTTGCTTTGCAACTGTCATAATTTCGTTAACAACAGTAATTTTTATAAACCATTTGCTAAAGATATTCTGTGGATTATAGGGATTACAAATTTTTCGGAAAAGATAAAGTCTGTTTTAAATCTTGAACAATGCGAGTTTCTCTTTACTGCACAACTTGATATTATTCTGTAAGGAAAGCTTGTTCTTTCTGCAACTTCATTGATACTAATCATTTTTGTAAACCACTTGCTAAGAAGATTTTGTGGACCATAAAGTTTAAAATTAGGTAACGAACGATTTCTTTGTAAAACAAGTGTGTTTTAAATCCTGAATAAGGTAGACTCGTCTGTATTCGTGTATCTTTCTATCCTGGAAGGTGTGCCTGTTTTTGCTATAATTTCGTCAATACCTTTGTTTAAATTCGCTCATTACGGACATTCTATGAGGTATAAGGATTAATACTAAGTAATAATAAAATATTTCTTAAAAGGTAAAGTCTGTTTTAAATCTTGATCAATGTAGGTTCGACTTTACTGCAACTTGCTCTGCAAGGTAAGCTTATCTTTTTGTAACTTCATTAATACTAAAATAAATAATATTAATTAATTAAATAATTAATATTATTACTGACACTAAAAATTTTTGTAACATTCTATGGACCACAAAAGTCAAAACTAGCTGCCAGTCAATTCTTTAAAAAAATACAAAATCTCTCTCAAATCCTATTAAGGTAGACTCGTTTTTGCAGAAGCTTTCTATTCTGGAAGGTATGCTTGTTCTTGATAAAACTTCGTTAATATTAATAAGTTTTATATAGGTGTTTGCAATTGAAATAGCTATTTTCTTTTAACATTCAAACTTACATGCATAATTTGAAAAATATGTGTCACATACGTGTAATTGAAAATCATTTTCATTCAACATGGAAAGAAAAGGAATTCGCATAGCTTATTTCTACGAACAAACACGGACTTTTAGAGAGAATTTACCGTATCTCCTAAAGTATGAAACCCGTTTTAAATCCATAGCAATATAAGCTTGCCTTTGCCATAGCTTGCGTCTTCAATACTACCGAAAATTCTGAAACGATTCGCTTCTCGATCATAAAGATCAAGCTGAGAACAGATCAGTCATTTCTGCACAGCTCGAACCCAAGGCAGAAACTGCAATTTCGTCACCCTCGACGCTCATCTTATTTTGATTCGCAGAAGGTTCCCCTAAACCATATATCGGCGAGTGTCGAGTACCCGCGCTCCGAGCACTTGAGCACATCAAAGAATCTCGGATATTCGATTCGCTTTTATTGGATCCGGCTCTCTCCTGCCTGTTTCTTTCTGTCCGCACACAGGATTTGGAACTCGTATGAAGACCCGCAGAAGTTCGTGAGACCAATCAGGAGCCTCTCGTGGTCACCGGACGGCTCGAATCGATTGGCCGCCGCGTACGCGTTCACGGAATTCGAAGACTATCCAGCGGACGTGAATCCGTGCTCCTATGTGTGGGACATCGGTACTCGACTGTCTCCTTACGGAATTGTTAGAAATAAGCTTTTAATCGAGGGAACCGCGCATTTAACACCTCAAGTGACAATCTCACGGATACGCGTAACGCGGGCTTGTTGCTCGATAACATTTAGTAAATGTTTCATCGTGTCCAAATCAAATATTTTCTTTAACATCGTTCGATTTTTCCCATTTCTTCGCTTTTCATGAAATAAAAAGAACTACGTTACTTAGCGAATTATTCAATGCCAAGATTATATTGAATTTCGCGGTTCACTTACGGAGTTAACAGCTTTTAGCGTTTCGAGCCACGAAAATCGACTAGCAGATCATGATAGATCGTATTTAGAGCGCGAATTTTTATGCAAAATAAACAGCTTCTATATCTGTTGCCAGAAACACAGGAATCACTTAGGGTTTTCTTCTTTTTTACCTCCAATCGCAGGCAACGTGGAATTCGCGTTCTAAGTATGTACTTTGTAAAATTTAGCGAAAGAAATTAAATTTTAATAATTTCAAATTTTTAATTAAAATATATTTTTCTATTTTTTTGTTGTTTCTCTTTCAATATGCATTTTAATGTAATTAAAATGTTATGTAATTAAAATTAACCCTCTAACTCGCCCGCGGTTAGAGGGTTAATAAGTTTACCTGATTGAAAATGGTATATTTGTAACCTTCAATTATTTCAGTTTTACTACTGTTTGAAATTGTCCCTGTTCATTTCTTGTTAGAAACGCATAAGGTTCATAGACTTTTCATGAGGGGAAATTATATATATTAACCCTTTGCTGTATGTCAACGAGTCAAACTCGTGTTATAGATTACACTATATATAGATAATCTACAAAACATGAATGTTATTCGTACCTTTTAAATCGAAACAAAATTTGATCCTTTCGCTGTTGTCGAAATCAAATTATCATCAATGTCTAGGAACGGAAATGAATGAAAACGTACGAGGAACAAAAATTGTCTCGTTCCTTTAGAGAAATTATGAAAAACGTGTTAATCAATGCAGCTGCGAAAGAAATCATAGTCAAAGGATTAAACTTACAATAAACACAGAATTTTATAAAATGCACTTCTGAGATAGAATCACGCGGATCTCGAAGCCAAATTTAAATTAAATCAAATCTTGGCTATAGTAGAAGTACACATACAATGACGAGTGTCATGCTGCAATTACTTGGAAATAGAATGATAAAAAATTAGTTTTTAAATAGAATCCATTACATTTCCCTCCTCAATAGCATTATAAGAATTGGAACTATCAAAACAGCGACTATCTCCTTGACCTATAATATCGTGTCAGACTGGTTATGAAGATTTCAAACATAATTCACGAAGTATAGATGTTATTTACGTTTTCTAAATTTAGTTCAAATTCTATTCATCTATTAAATATCATTTTTCTTCCTGGTATAGGAAATTCTTAAAGATGAAGAAACACACTGGTGGACAAAGTTAAAAGATACTCGATTTATTCATTAAAAACATATGTATAAGCTTATATGCATAGCAAGCACGATGAAGGCATAGAAGAGTAGTATTTCTCGAACTCTACCATAGTGTAAACGAACACAAAGCGTCGAAGCACTTCCAAGAAATGTAATGTTTTGATTTTCTGGTAGGACAAAATTATAAGACACTAATGTCAATCAACCACAGACAGTCGTTGTATCTATAGTCCTCACGCGATAAAAAGGCACTTTTGTGTTTATATATTCCCCTTCTCGTATGCTGCACCACTGCCGCAACTATCGGTCGCTATTGGCCGTTAACTGCAGCAGTGGGGCAGCTAGTAAGAAGGGGAGGGGGCACAAAGGTGCCTTCTTGTCGCGTGAAGATTATACATGCGTTTGTGTGTTTCGTATTGTAAATTCTCTGCTGCAGTGGTTCCGTTACTACAAAACATCAATACATAGTAAACGTTCGTAAAAAACATTAAAACTACAAGTATGCCACGAGGAAAATCTTTAACTGAAGAAGAGAAAATAGAAATCCTTCAAAGTAGGGCAAAAGGAGAGAATTTAAATCAAATTTTACTAAAAATGGAAAAAAAAGATGTATTTTCTTATAACTACAATATCGAACTAATAATTTTCCATGTCTTATAATCTTGCTTTTTGAAAGAAATCGACTGGGAAAGTGTTGAGAAGTGGCCCGACTGCGTTGGTCCATCAACGTTAAGGAACTGGTGTTACGCAAAAATTGAAATGGCAAAAAATTGATGTCACAGAATGTAACAATCGGAAAAATTTAAGTCGAAAATATAGGTGTCGTAACAATTGACGACTTGAAAACCGATATAAAAATTAATGTCACTCGTTCGAACGTCTCCATCGTCCAAGCTCGGTTTGATGGTATCACCGTTGACGTTTTAATTACTGAAATTTACAATTTGTCGGAAAGTGTTCCGATCAGACAGGAGGTGTTAATCATCGGCACTGATTCCGCTCGGCACCGCTCACGCTCGCGTAACGCTGTCGGTTAATCGATCCGATGCCGCGGACGCGTGTCAGGTTAACCGAAAAAATTTCGGGTCAAATGCCTGCTATTGAATTCGTGATTTTTTTTAACCGGCTCGAATTTCGAAATCTTCACGCTCCGCGGAATTCCACGCGAAATTCATTAGTTAGTTACGCGTGCCGCCGACGATAATTCCTTGAATCGGACAAATTGGTACACAAAATGTACCACACGCAGCGAGAAGGCGCGATTATAATTTAGACCGCGGTTAGAATTACTTGCGGAAATTCTTCCGCAAGAATTTCATACCGGAACCGACCTTGGAAACGGTTAGTCAGACTTGTTTTAAACAAAACTGTTCCATTTGCGCGATTTTTGTTAGAATATCTGCCGGAGTAAAACTATTTAATTGTAGTTTCTTAATTAATTTTTTGGGCTTTCGATGAATTTTTTAACGAAGACAGCGATTTTCACCGTTAATCATCGAGTTATATTGAACAGCATAATAATAATTTCTTTGAAGATTGCAATCCAAAGGACAATTTTTAAGCTGCTCTTTGGTGCAGAAAGGTCATTATGAACCTTATCGAATAGGCTTCCTTCAGGATAAGATAGATAATTACAAGACTGTGGATCTTTATACGAATTATATAATTTAATAATTTCATACATTTTAATTATAATTTAATAATTCAATATGTTTAAATTATAATTTAATAATGTAATATATGTAGATTATAATTTTTTATAAAATTATTTACGTAGAAAGATTTAAAATATTTAAATTATTTACCTAAAAATATTTTTCATAGGATATTGAGGATAGAAACATTGAG